AAAAAAAGACGAGAGGAAAAAGAGAGTAAATTAAGCCTCGAAACCTAATTGTTCATTCACTGATTAGATTGACAGTATCTGATTAACCCTGAACAATTTAGTAATTCAACTTATCTCTTGATATAATCATCAGAAAGTTAAATAAGTTACACCTTTTAATTGGTTCAACTTTTTTCCTCTCTCTTAATGTGAATCAAATTAAATCACAATCACAAAATTCAATCTCCTAATAGTTACAATTTAACTCTACATGTTTATAACTATTATCTGATAATCTTATTTAATTTTCTAATTAACGATCAATTTAACCATTTCAATATCTCACCATGTTAAAGATTATTATTATCACTTTGTTATAAACGAAAGTCTCAACTTTTGTTTTCATGTTTTCATGGTAACACGATGATGAAATTCTGGTGTTTTCTATGAATTTTCAATTCCGTTTCCATCATGAAATGATAATATTTCATACTTTGTTTCCAGAGATATGATTATTAGAGTCTCAATTTTGCTTATCCGTTTTTTTCATGCTGATTTTTCATGTTATTATCATGATATTATTTATTTGTTTCATGTTGTTCACTCATCATCATCATCATGATACATTATTTTCATTATATTATAAATATATAAATACAAGCTTATTACATATTGTTGGTGTATAGTAAAAAAAAGGGATGAAGATGAAGACGAGGATGAGGATGAGGATGAAGATGATAAACATTGTATTAATATCATGTGTCTGTATGTTTTAGGTTAAAAATATAACACATAACTTGAAGATAATCAGTAAAAATATATGACAAGGAAACATGTTCAATATTTATTCAATTATTATTATTATCTTTCCCCTGAAAATCCTGGTTGATTGAAAATTCATGTAATCAGTAAACAATTATATCAGAGGAAAATATTCACCATGATGATTGAGTTTAACATGGGAAAAAAATAACCACCGTTAATAAGCATTTAACGTTAACCACTTATCCAGAATTATCCGTAAACGTTGATTACTACTTGATAACAATTTAGTTAATCATCAGCATCTTGCCAATATTTTGAAAACGTTGAATGAAAAATCATATTCATATAATTATCAACATGGAAATAATAATTTTCCGTCTAGATTATTTATATATATGAATATGATTTATATGCAATAAGAATTGAATATAAATCCATTAGGATTCTGATGATGATGATATTCTGAAGATGAGACGGATCATCAGGAGAATCCAAGGTGAATGTTTTTCCAATGGGAAGAGAGAGGAACAAATTTCCTATGTGAATAACCAATTTAGATACATTTTCTTTGAGAGGTTTTATATTTTTTTCTTTACATGGAACATCATATTTATCTCTCTCTCTTATCGTCTTAATACCTAAAGTAGAGAAATGAATTTATTGTTATTCATATGATATTCGTGATCGAGATAAAACTTTATATCTTATTGTTTTCATCATCGATTATCATCTTGATCATCATCTTTTATTTATATTACATTGATTCTCATCCGATGCCAAGGAAGGGAAAAGGAACATTGTATCATCCAATTTATCTTTCGACAATTTGACAAATCTAATTATTTTATTCCATTTAATTGTTATCCAAAGTTTTCTTTTCATTTTATCTTTTACTCGTTAATCTAATTGCATCTCTTTCCTCTTTGTTTTCTTTGCAATATTGATTGGAAATTATCATTAAGATAATTATTAACTCATGATGATGATATTGATATGTTATTACTGAGAGTTGCTGAGTGCTGGGTTGAAGCATTTTATAACCTCTAACTTATCATATTTAGCTTCGTAATAAGGATGAAGATCACGGAAAAAATCAACAAGGACTTCCAGTGGGTGATATTCAACTCGATCTGGTATTTGAGATGAACACAGATAGATTATTATGTGTTCAATTTTTCAGTTTCATAGAACTGTCCAGGATGAATTCGTCATCATCTCGATGTTCAAAGTTGTCATGAGTTTTGGTCACTAAGAACTGACTCGTTTTGAAATCTCTATCCAATTCCAACGGATTATCCCAAGACTTGAGCACTTCAAGCGTCTCCTTTTCTGAATAATTTGATCCTTTTGTATATGAACCATTCCATTTCTAGGTAAGAAAGGAAACTTGGACTAATCGCATTTTGAACAATTTCATCATGACATCATGGTAATCGCACTATCTTGTATCTGAATTCTATGATGTAACTCATGAATGTTGTACTATTGAATCTTCAAGTGATACATATTAATATTCCCAATTTGGGCCAGAGCACCAGGTCTCACCGTGCCAAGTTCACGCAAGTTTCCGCTGTCACTAATAAAATTGACATAATCATCATAACGAATAGGGTCTTCCATTGAAAAAATGAAGCATCGCAATATTGTAAAGTGTGGTAAATTACAAGTTTACATAAATTTGAAAGCTTATTTCCATGTGGTGTAAATGAGAGGGTTCAAATGGGTCACTTTCATATTTTTTTACCTTATTGGGCATTCACGAGGTTCCATGATCAAGTTTTAACACACAAGTAATTTAGGCACAAAGAGCAGGGAGAGATTTGTACGCTTTAGTTAGAAACGGATTTTCAAAGTAGAGTTGGAACAATTAATTGTTTTCCAAACAATTAACAAATTAAATAAGAAAAAACTTTCTGCTGCTTGATTGATACAATATTGAACGATATTTTCCAATGTATTCTAAAAATTGATAATATTATCGATATTATGACAATAAATGTTGTTTCTTTCGATTAGAACTTTTTACTGGTATCGAACATGAAATTTCAAAGAAAACGCTAAAAAGCACATTTATCGCCGATACACACCAATCAATTGAAAAAAAGTTCTGACATGTATCGATTGCTCCAGAGGAATATCATGTAAACAGTTAATTTCTATTGATGAGTTAATTGTGATCATTTTCATCATTAATTTATTGATCCTTTCATGTAACTTCATCAGATTAATATATTTATATATATTTCTTATCAAGTTATTATGGTTGTATGATAATTAATCGTAACGATGTTTACATCGATAACTTTTTTTTGTTATTATTATGATTTTATTGATCACAATCAAATTGTTATTGTAAACTTGTTGTTTTTTTTATTTTTTATGATTTTATCAGTTAATCAAGTTGATTCATTTTCTTCAATGGAAATGGATCAACAATTTATCTCATATCAATGGGTAGTAATTCAGAGATTCAACTATTAACTTAATGAAATTCAATTTTGATCATATGAAGAAAAAGATTCAGAAACTATTCAATTTGTTGAATTTTTCGATTGCAAATGGAAAATTCAAGATGGCGAATCGAATTTTCGCGCCAAATTAGGTCAAATCAAGTCAAACTCTTTCTCTTGTAATACTTTTCATCTTCATCTTTTTTCATCTTCTTTCTGTTTAATTCTTACTCCTACTTTTCATCATGTTCATCATCATCATCATCTTCATATTATCTTCATGATTGTCTTCATTTTTCATCTTTGATCGATAAATAAAAAGATCAATATCTTTTTGCTTCGAATTTTTTTTTCACTATAAGGCAGAGAAAAAAAAGTTCCTTTAGCATCTCCATCTTCATCTTCATCTTTATCTTTATCTTACTATCTAGGGGAGAGAGAAAATATTTCAACTCGAGTGAAGATGATGTAAGGAAGATGAAGAGAAAAAGACTAAGATGGAGATAAAAAAACATAAAAGATGAAGAAAAAGATAAAACCTAAGAATTTATCATTTTATCTTCTTCTTCTTCCTTAAGCTTTATCCCTTTTTACTGTATCATTACCAAGAAACTTTTATTCTCATGATTTTCATTCTGAATTTAAGGAGATTCATGATGAACAGATAACTTGTCTTATTCATTGTTGACAGAATCATCATCATCATCATCGGGCAATCATCATGATGATTATCATGATGATAAGAAATGAAAAATGAATAAGGATTAACTTGAATGAAAAATTTTCCATCTTCTTCTTTGGTTTATCATCATCATAATAATAATTTGTCATCATTGTTACAAATCCTAAATTCAAGTGAAAAATCATCTGATTATCATAACGATAATTAGTTGAAATTTTAAAACTAATTAAGGTTCTAGTTGATCTATTAATTAAATGCTTAAAGATTTCCAAGTTAATTTTAACTTAATCATTGATTATTTGGACAAGATTAACGGATCAATTTGTTATCAAGTTAATCACTGACATTGTTAAAAGATGATGATAATGATGATGATGCTTTTAAATCATTAATCAATTGGTTAAAAGCTTAATCATGTTTTCCTTGTTTAAACAATTTAACTCTCATTACTTTTTTTTCATGTACCTGTTGTTGTCAAACTGTTAACAATCAACAATTAAGATCAATCCCTTAATTACTGTTGATTTAATTGTAAGTTAAATCATCCTACTCTTACTTGGAAATGAGGAAATGATAATTTTAAATTCATAGCTTCATAATCAGCTAATTGTTTGACTGTTTATTTCAATATGAATACAAACATTGTAACAATTAGCACAATCGGTAACTTATTAACTTGGTAAACTATCAACTAATTAATCAACTTAATTTGATTCATTCAAGTGGAATAATTAAGCTAACCATTAACCCTCCTTCTTAATTCATTGATTAACTATTTTATTAAATCAATCAAGACACTGGAAAAAAAACTAATCACTATTTAATTAAAATAGTCAAAGTCACTTTTTGCTTCCTACTCCCAATCAATCAATTTAATCACAATTAGATTGATTGTCTTCCAATTGATTTGGTCGATTTATATTTCTAACTGTCACAATTTTAATCAACAATTAATACACGTATATCTCTGTTTGTAATAAAAACAATCAAATAATCATCGTAAATCAATCACAATTAAAAGTTAATTACATTTCTGGTTTAATCATCAACCAACAAGGTAAAGTTAATCATAATTCAATTCCATGTTGTAGAAAATTGTTTACCTTAATTAAGAAATGATTACCTCCTTAGATTTGGTCCTTCCAATCAAATATCGATAAATATAAGTTAATTGTCAACAATCAAGAGGAAGAAAGAAAAAAATGATTAGAACAGCAATCAATTAATAATGAGTTAATTAATTACCTTCCTTGATTCCTGTGAGTTCAGCAAAAACAAAACTTTCTTTCCGATTAAACATTGAAAATACCAGAGTCTTATATAAATATCATTCCCTCCACGCCTACAACTTGACCACCACGACAACACCTCACCCATGATCACCCTGTATCTTCATACATTGACTTAGAATCTAAATTTGATAAATACAACCAAAAAAAAAGGTCCAATCATAATAAAAGGTTAGTGTATATGATTGGGTTAACTTGGTAACCCAAATGTATTAATACATAAGTTGATTGATATTTGGGTTAGATTAATATATAAAGTAAAGGGAGAGAGAGAGAGAGAGAGATGTATCTATGATTATGATGATGAAACAATCTAAATTTTGTTCAGTGAGCTGAAATATCATTGAACTGAATTGAAATGATGATGAAAAAACTGATGAAAAAAAAAGAGTAGAAATAAAAAAATCTCAAGTTCCTGAGGCTGTTAAGATGAAGGAAAGATGAAGATGAAAATGAAACTGATATTATTATTATATCTTCAGTTATATAGTATAAAAGTTAAGGTTAGAACTTTTTTTTCTCTCTCTTTCTCTCTCTTTCTATCTCGAACTGAGTTGAAAAAAAAGTTCTGATATTATGATATATTAAATTAATCAGAGTGAAATAATTTCATCAAAGTAAATAACTAAACCTATTCATCATTTATTTTCATCATCACTGATTAATATTAATGTTTACATTGAAATTGCTCAATGTTATTAATAGTTATCATTCATAATTAAATATTCAGTTAGTAATTTAATTGTTTCGTGTAAATTGTTGATTAACTTTTTCTTTCTTGTTTACTTATTAACATGTTAAATACAGTTGACAAGAGGTCAATATATGGGTTATGATGAAGATGACCAGAGGATGAGGAGAGTTGCATCATTATAATTATTATTATTTAACCAAAAACTGGGTCAATAATTAAAATACTGACCATTAATCACTTTGTATTATTTTTGCCTTCTCACTTGAAACAATATGGATCATGATGAATAGCGAAAAGTTAATCAAAATGAAATTTAATCAACATTAAATTAAATTCATAACAAAAGCAAAAGTATTCAAATCTATGGTAACCTTTTTGACCTTAAACATTTTTTACTTCCTATTAATGTTTGATTGTTGCTTGATTCACTTAATTATGCCTCAAGGGGTTAAACTGTAAGGTTAACTATCCTAACGATGTCCAATGGATGAGAGAGAGAGAGAGAGAGAGAGAGAGAGGTCATCATTAGGGATGATGATTCAAATCGGAAAGATGCATGAAAGATAAATGAAGTTTGGACAACTGGACAATGGGTTATGACACAACAATAAGCAATGAGAGAGAGAGAGAGACAGAAATTGTCATCTAAATTGTTGCCACAGAAAAAAACAAGGTTGATTGTTTAAATGAAGGTTATATCATCATCATCATCATCATCATTATTGTTATTATTGTGATCATTATCATCCTCTCTCCCTCTCTCCCTCTGTCCAATGTTTTTTGTTGGGTGGACAGTGAAGCAAATATATTACTGAACTGACCATGAGCTTTTTCTTGCCTTTGCTTTCATCATGAATCATAAACTTCATTGATCAAAAAATGAGGCTCAAAGTTACACATTAAACATAAACTCTGTCAAATATTATCTGTTATACTTACGGATAAATAATAAATTTCATGTATATGTACACACACACTGACCATCATCACTGTTAAGTTTACTGGTCATCAGAGTGTATTTGTCCATCTAAATACATGATTGTCTAGTTATATGTTTCAATGTTCACCCTTATTGTAACTTGGTCAATGGTCAAGTTGATTCAAATCTCATTTTTAATTCAACCATTTGAAAGGAAAATGAAAAATGATCCTGATTGAATGTCCAAACAATTTAAACGGACCATGTTAAGTGTTAACAATAATCATAACAAAAAAGATGATAACAAATGATGATGATAAATATAATATCTGAAAAAAAAGTGAGACTCAACATTATTATTATTATTGAGTTACAATCTGTAAATCATTTTCCAATGAGATGTGAAATTATATCATCCCAATAATCAACTTATATTACAATCTCACTTTCACAGCTAATCTTATGTGAAGATTTGATTCATTGAATAGGAATTGAAGACGATAACTTTTCTATCCCTGTGAACATCATGAAAACAGGGAAACAAATATACATTTTCTTGGATACTTCATGTAAAGTGGGTGGCAAAGTATGTAAATATATTCACAGGAAAAAGTTCATTCATTTGTCAATAGCTTTTCCTTTGAAACTTTTTTTTTTCCTTCCCTGATGATATAACGTTTACCAAGCAATTTACATTTCCAATCACCATTGGAAAATCATGTTCAATCTTAGGCTTTTAACCAATTCAACCATTCATATTATTCACAATCCAACTTTAGTCTTGTTGTTGTTTCCATTCATCCTCATCCTTATTGTTGATCATCATCAGCATCATTGAAATAACCTGTTAACAAAATAAAAAGGATACTAAACTTTGATGATTACGATTGAAGATACACATTGAATTATATTTGCAAATAAATCAACAAAATTGATTAACAATTTACTGTTTTTCTTTTCCTTGAATCTTTTAGATTCTGCAAATCAGAACTTTTTTTTTACCTCATCATTGCAATTTTTTTTTCTCCATCAGCATCATCATGATGGATCTTCCAATCAATGGCAATGAATTTAATATTTTCCTTTTACCATTCATTCATCAGATTTTTTTTTATCTCTCTCATCATCAGAATATTGTTTCAGAATAAGGAGAAAACCATTGAATCAAAGTAACTGTAAAATAAAAGGTAAAAGAGGGGGAAAAAAAGTTCAATCTAATGTAATCATGATTCGATGATGCAAATAAATTGTTAACTTTTACATGGTAGTAGTTGGAAACAGTAAATGGATGAGGGAGAGGGTATGATCGAGGTGGTGAATGAGTGAGAAGTGGGAATAAGATATATTATCATGAAGAAGAAACAAAAAATAAGATCAACTTTGTGATTAGTTGGATGTTCAGGTTAATATATATGGAAAGATGAAGTTAAATCTATCAACAGGGAAACAGAAAATGAGGATTAGAAATGAAATGTAATTGAAACTGAATCAATTGGAAAGGTTAAGATGTTGGAAATTCAATTCAATTCAATTAAAAGGTGAAATTGTGTGACCAGTTTCAAGTTGAGGCTATAATAGGTTTTTTTTATGTGAGTGAGAGAGGGGAAAATCTCACCTTCACATGAAATAATCATTCTCCACCTTACTCAGTGTCTTTTTTTCATTTTGTTCACCTTTTGGCAATAATAGTAATAGTAATCATCTGTTAACACTGATTGTGAACTTTGCTGGTGCCTTTTTATGTGTTATTAAAACAATATCATGAAAAAAAGAGATGCTGATAAAAGCTCTGAATTCTCAGTTGACTTAATATGTTTGCTAATTTTTCAAAGGTTTAGGATGAAGAGGATGAATCAAGTCTATAGAAAATGAGAGAGAGAGAGAGAGAGAGAGATGAGGATGAGGATGATTTGGGAAGATGATGGAAAAAGGAAAAAGTGTAAAAAAAGAGGTAACTGAAAGAGGAAGAGAAAAGTTTTCGGTTCAGTAATCTATCTGAATAGAAAGAGACTTTAATCTGGTTTAGATGGAACCTGAGAGAAGATGAAAATGATGAGGATAAAGATGACGAAAGATGAAAAGAGAGAGAGAAAGAGGGAGAGTCTAAAGTAACCAACATATTCAAGTGAATAGTTCAACATACTCACTTTTAACCTTAGAGTGGAAAAAGAAAGATGATAAAGATAAATGGTTAAAATGTCGAAGATGATTTTGTGAGGAACAAGGCACAGGGAGGCAAAAGAATTTCAAAAAAAAGAAGAAACTCTGAATAGATGGAGATAAAAGGAATCATCATGATAACCATGATATGTAAGAAATAAAACGAAATCTCATCAATAGTTACCTGGAATCGAGAAGGTAAAAAGAAACTAATCAAGGAGTTTAAAGGGAATGATAATGAATGGGGAAGGAAACTTGGGGAGTGAGAAAGTAGAACAGGTAAATTTGAATGAGAAATTGTTAGTGAATAAAAAATAACGAAAAGAAAAGGTGAAAAAAGTTACAATATAAAAATAAGAAAAGAATATAAAAAAGAGAGAGATAGTAAATAGGAAGATGAGAGATCACATTAATGTTTATGGGTTACAAGCTTGTCCAACATGAATTTCATTTGGTCATATAAAATTCTGACCACTTGGTTGGGTTTTCGTGTATAGCTAATTTTGGGTAACAGTAAAATTGAATCTAAAGATGATGATGATGATGATGATGAGCGAAGACAGAATTCAATGAGGATAATCAAAATGCGCATAAAACTATTTTTAGAAGTAGAAAGCAATTTACACAGTTTACCCTTGACCTCAAGAAAAGACGATCAGAAGTGACCAACATCCTTCTTTCTCTTTTTCTTTCTTTGTATCTAAGGTTTCAAATCTGAAGAAAGAAACATGGAAAGAAAGAGTAAATTATAAGGTAATACAAAGATGATGAGAGTTATTATGAAAAGGTATAGATAATATTGCTAAAGCTGAATTACTTGGTTGTAGAGGTGGAAAAGGAAGATTAAGACAGGAAGAAAGGGAGAAAGAGAGAAAGAGAAAGAGAGAAAGAGGTAAAATAAGAGCTAAGAAAAGCTCATAGATGCATAACACCCTGGAGAGAATTCAATTGTTGTAAGCTAAATTACTTCCATCTTCTTGCTTGCTTCATCATTATCATCATCTTCGTATGAAAAAGGACGAATCTTTCTATCACTCTCTCATAAACTCTTCTCCATCATCATTTTCATCTTATCTTGTTCCATACGATTTTCTTTTTCTTCCATGATATTGATGTTCGTGCCCATCCTTATCCTTGCTTAGCTTGTTATTATTCAAAAAACAAGTTCGAGCATCAGTAATAGTTCATTTAACCGACATCCTTTTTTTTATGTTAACCTCCATCTCTTCACGTCATTTTATCTTCTTATCTTCATCTTTTCACTTTGCTTCTCGATTTTACCTCCTTTCCTTTTCTTCTCGTCTTTCATTTCCACATGCTTGTTGTGTTCCTTTTTATCCCCTCTCGCGATTGCCTGTTAATTTCTTGTTGAAAATTGTATCAAAGTGTTATCACTATCAACAACACCACCACCACGATCATCATCAGCTCCTTCAACCAAACATTTTTCTTTCTTTTTCCAGAAAAGTCAGATTACAGAAAGAATATTTTTCACCCAATATCCATTCAAGTAAATTGAATAAACTTCCAAAGTAACTGATTTTTGATTTACACTGGAATACACCTTCTCCTTTTTTTCCCTTACAATCAAGTAGTCGTAGTAGTAATAGTTGTAGTGGGTGGAGAAGTAGAGTAGTGATTGTAAATAGTTTTTTTCTTTCCTTCATCTTATCCTTTGCAACTGTAGCTCTTTACCAATATTTTGCTTTCAATCCTTGTATTGATCATTGATGTCAACTGGTAATTTCCCGTTCTCTTTTTTATCTCTGTGTACCATCAACATTTTTTAATCTATTATTTATCATCAATGATGATCAAGATGATCTATGTCAATGTTAACCTATTAAGTCTGTATATGAGTGGGAAGGAGAGAGAAAGAGTAAGAAAGATAATAGAAAAGAATAGAAATAAATCTAGTTAATATATAGAATAATGATGGAAAAGGAAAACAATTTGTACTCAGATACTTACCTGTGTTCATTAAAGGAATACAAGGTAAATAAGATGAAAAGAGGATGATAAATAGGAAGAGATTCTTTAGTTTGTTTTCAGTCGATCCATTTACCAAGTTATTTTCTTTTCCGTTCAAAATCTTGAGGTTTCAATCCATTAGTAGTACTAAAGAGAAAGAGAAAGAGAAAAGAAAATAATAAAAAATATATTGTTCGAAAAGGTATTGATAGTTTTCTTATGTTGGGTTATAATCGCCAAAAGTGAGGGAAAGAAGTTGAAGATGAAAAAAACAAAAGAGAGAGAGAGAGAGAAAATGAAGATCATCAGATTAAGGCTGAGATTCAATATTGGTGAAGATAATTGAACTTCTCATGGGAGTTGACACTCCCAGTCTCATTCGTTTTCTCATTTATCAGCAGCTATTAAAGGTGAGAGACAATCTTGTTCTCTTCCTATTTTTTTATTCTCTTACCTTTTTCATTCTTGCTACTTCTCATTTGGTGTCTTGCCTCGTTTACCTAATTTCTTTCCTTTATCAGGTTTACCTTTGTCACTATTCATTTCTCTTGAGATTTTTTCTTCTTCACTTATCCTTTGGACTCTCTTTCTCTCTCTTTCTCTCTCTCTCATTCTCTATATTTTCTCTTTTGTCTTCCGTCTTCCTTGTTCTTCCTTAAATTGATTCCATAGAAATCAGTGTTAGCCATCAAAATATTTCCAAGTTCATTTGTTGCTTGTTCATTGATTATCTCCTTCTCTCTCTCTATCTCCCTGATTTCCATGTAACATGTTGGTACGAACTGTATCGAGACTTTGTTATCAATAACAACCATTGATTAAGTTCACGAGTTGACATTTTACTATTATACAGATTTAACTGTCAACTTGTATTTAGTATCAATATATCTTAACAGTATCCTCTTCTTGTCATCATTACCATCATCATAAGTTAAATAACATCATCAAATAAATTAAAACCATCCAAATTATACCATTTGATTGTCAATTGTCGTTTGTTTAATCCTTATAATAATCCAAGTTAAACTTTGTTTTTATCCTTCTAATGATGGTTACAGGTAAATATCTACAAAGGAAAAGGATAATAAATAAAAAGTCAGGATAAAATATCCATAGATTATATATTTTGATATTAGAGGTAATTTTGTAAAAGTGATAATAATAATGATAATAATAATAAAATTGTTGATAGACATAAATAAATATAAAAATAAGCTTTGAACTTACCATAAAATCAGCTATACTATTGGAGCAAGAGTTATATAAATGATGTGAAAACTGGTCAGCATAAGTTGACCAGTAGTGGACATTAATAGTCTAGTTGTTGATGTAATAGTAGCTGTAAATATCAATCAATGATTAATAAAACAAAAAGTAAGCAACAATCTGAAATGATCCAAATAACCTTACATTATATGTTGATAGTTTTTTCACCTCTTAACAGTTATATTAGTTGCCCATTATTGTTGATGTTGTTGTTGTTGTTGCTTTCGTTGATGATGGTAAACAAATTGTCAAGTGTGATGATGATGATGATCAAGTTTTTCTTCATCAATCCTGAAAATACTAAGAGTCTTCAATTGTTGATTTAACCTGACTTTTGGTCAAGTGGATTGCATATATTGTCAAGATTTTTATGATCTTCCAACAATTTGACTTGTCATCCTTTTGTCTTTTTTCCTTTGCGACTTTTACCTCCATTGATTTATCATTCTGTGAATTAATACACTTGGAAAGATAAACATCATCATCAGCAAAAGAACAGAGAAATTCATGGTTCACCTAATGAGGAAAAGCAAGAAGAAGAAAAAAATCAGGTTCTAATTATGTTACAATGGACTTAATTGCTCTAAATGTAATAACAACTCTTTCTCTTCTCAATCTTCACCTTCAAGTTTAAATATTGGGTAAGTGGCATGAGTAGAAACAATCAAGTCTCTGATGATGATGATGATGATGATTTACATTGAAACTTTGTTCTTATGTATATTTAGTAGCTTTTATCTAGAAAGTATTAAAGAATAGAATTGAAAATCAGTCCAATTTATATTGTATAAACAACCAATTGGGCTTCTCAACACTTAACCAGAATTGCCTTTCCACTTTGCAATTAAAAAGGTTTTACTTCATCAACATCATTATCATCATTTTCTGTTGTACTTCTAATTTCATCAACACTTTTCCACTTTCTCTCTGTCTTACCTTATCTGTTGAATAAACAAAAATAGAAATTGTTGATGAAAAGAGAACAAAAAAAACAGAAGACTTTATATACTAAATGGCAAGAAAGACCTTTAACAAATCCTTTCATGTTTCCAGAATTCTCTTTGTTTAACATGGTACAATATCCTCATTGCTCTTGTCCTTACAAAATCATCTTCATCCAAATTATCTGTTCCATTGCCTCTTCTTTTTCCTCCTTCTTACTCCTTTTCTCCACCATCACTATGTCTTCATCATCATTTGTTTCTTTTCCATGTATAAAATATATTGGCCCATGTTCCTTTTCCATAGTCTTGTTTACATAGAGAATAAACAAATTTTCTTTAAGAAAAAAAAAGTAAGAACGAAAGAGAATATAAGAAAATTGTTGATCAGAAAATGTATCAAGAGAGAAAAAAGAAAATTCTTTCTTACCGTTTTTCACTTGATCGCCATTTTGGATCCTTCATCTTCACTGATTAAACTAAATTTTTTCGGAATTTTCTCTTTTTCGAACATTAAAAGTTCATGATGATGATGATGATGAGGCAGAAAAAAAGACAAAATATCACTAAAAACAAAACAGAAACATCAAAATGTTAATAAAACCATAAATGATTAATATAGTTAACAAAATAATCTGACTCATTTTAATCAACTCGTTTCCCTCAACTTTTCAACCAATTGGTTAACCCAAACAAAGAGACAAGATGGATGCCAAACATAATCAGAAGATTAGTTGATGTGATGAGAGAAAAGTAGATGAGTTAATCTTTCTGTTAATTAACAATTTAAAACCAAAAAGAGTAAAAAAAACAAAAAGATAACAACAATTAATTGGAAATAAATTGGAACAAAAAAAAGACAAAAATAATTAACGACTTAAGGGGTTACATATAAAGAGAAAAGAATTTTTTACATATGGAAATTTATTGATTTTCCCTCGACTGATTTTCTTTAATTTATTAATTGTTGTGATCGTTTTAATTTTAATTCGTTATTTAAATTGTTCCAATTAAGGTGCAATTTTTTTTTTCATCTAATTGTATTACTATTGATCAGTTGTGTTGATCGATATTCTCATTGAATAGATTTTCGGTTTATCGGTTAATTAACTGACTATTTCTTTTTCCTTCTTGTAATCTGTTCATCTTTACCTACAATTGATTATAATTATTTGTTGTTTTCTTATTTTTCCTCTGATTGGTATCTAATTAACTTTACTAGTTGATTAGTGGTTAAAGTTATTACCTCATTTATATATATAAATTGTTGATTGAATTGATCAACAGTTTGTTGTCTCAATTTTTGATTACCTTTGTTGTTGGTTTTTTTTGTTTGCTTCATTCAAGTCTTTGTGTTACTGTTTTCTTTTTTTTTTCCTATTTCTATTAATTGTTAATACCTTGACTTTTAATGTTACTGGATCAATTTTTATCATCATTCGGTGTGAATGGTAATGTGTGTGTGTGACAGGATGCATATGATTATAATGGAAGATGTTCCTGTTTGTGAATAAGCTCATGGAATTCAATTCATCATCATCAACAGTAAATGTTTTGTTATTATTATTCAGTCAAAATTCATCCATCTCCTGTTTTTATGTTCTGACACCTTTGGATTGGCGAATTGAATTATCATTACCACCATCATAATCATCATCATCTTTCTCTCTAATGAAGATATGTTATAATCTATATAAATGGAATAGCTGTTGTTTGTACCTCAAGAATAAGGAGTCATTACCCTTTTGAACTTATGGGAAATCAAGAGGATCATCTAATAGTTTTATCATTAGATCAATCAATGTATATTCCTGCATTTCTTGTGTACATATATGCAAACAAAGTAGACATGGAGATGGTTACAGTTGAAATGGTTTACCTGGAATCCAAAAGGAAGAGAAAAATTTGAAATAATCAAGAGGAAGACGAAAAAAACATCTCTCACTTCACAAGAAATTGTCACCATTATTATCGTCGTCATTATATTGCAGTGATAAACAAGAGGAGGAGGATGACAGTTATTTTACTTCAATTATCTTGATGCCTGGTTGGCTATTCATGTCAATTTAATTCATCAACATGGCTAATTCAAGTTAAATAAATGGAGGAAATATAAAGACACACATACGTTGACATGGAATATAAGCTGATAGTTTAGAGGAGAACGAAAAAAATCATAGAAAAACATGAAAATCTGATGAGGAAAATCAAGTAATCAGATGGAAACAATAATAGAATGTAAATCAAAACTTTACTAAATGTTATTGGTCAACGAGCTGAGATGTGGAAAGAAATAGACCAAAAGGAAATGCAAAGAACTCGCGACAATTGTTGAGATAATTGTCGTCTATTGTTTGGATATTTTTACCTACTTGTAGTTTTCACCACTAATTTACCAAGGATTATTTTCCATACCCGATTAATTTCTTATTTTCTATGGTGATCGAAAAGTGTAACAACGAAGTGCAAACACTTAAAAGTTATTACGTTAAATATACTGTTATTAATGCCTGATAACATCATCATAATCATCATCAGATTGTTTACCTTTATAAACACCAAAATGTACCAAGTCTAAGATGATTCCCTGTTGACAATTTTATTTCCAAGTTGAAATCTTGTGAATATTTTGTGTATATAATCATAATCTAAACACATGAAACAGCAACAACGAAGACAACACTTACATGTTCAACATATAAACAGTTAATGTACATGGATAAAATACCTTCATCATCTGTAAAATGCATCTCAACTAAATGGTGTATTAGTGGTTCCTAAGAATCTCAACCTAATCCTCATGATGTGTACATCTCCATCTCTCTCTCCCTCTCTCGGTCAACAACATTCATTTCACCATCAACACCACTATCAACAAAGAGATGAACATCTTCCATGATGAAAGTTTTCCATCACCACTAAAGTAGAGTAGTCTCTCTCTCTCTCTCTCTCTCTCTCTCTCTATCTCTCTCTATCTCTATCAAGATGAGGATGCAAACGATAAAAGAAGAAAATTGAAAGCTAGTGAATAAAGAAACAAACAAAAGGATGAAGGAGAGAAAAAAAGTTCAGCAAATCGAGTTATATACTCTCCAGGAAAAAAAAGACAGGGAAAAAGAGGAAGATATGTTTTCAATGTTTGGATGTATTATCACTAGAGAAAACAAGCAATTGAATGAGCCTGTTTCATATTATCATCATTATTATTATTACATAAACAAATCAAAAGTAATTCATACTTATTTTGATTGGACACATTATCAGCCATTTTGGGGTTTCCATTGAATAAGAGCAGTTAAACATGGTCAATTCTGAATGAAAATGGTCAACATGATATTTGTTGATGATGATAGTCAAGATCATGATCTTTTTTTACTGTATTACTTTTACTTGATCATCACATTCCTCTCTCATATGATGATTTGATGGTGAAAATATTGTACAATGTAATATTTATTATCTCTCTGTCTGATTATACTGAAAAAAAGGAGCTGAAAGTTCAAACCAATAGATGATGCGAATGATGAAGATGAAGATAATGATGATTCTGATGATTGTATGAAGTTGAAAATCATTAGAAAAGCCCAAACAATATTTTCACCATCATTTCATCTTTATCTTCATCGTCTTCCAATATTTATCTGAATAGAATGTTTCTCACACCAGTAACACCACTTCTTCAACCATTATCTTCATCTTCTTCATCTTCTTTTCCTTCATGAAGATAATAATGATCTTCATGTTGATGATCCTTATGATACTCAACCCTTACTCCTCCTTCTATATGACCCACCCCAGGGAAATATCTTCTTCTCAAATGGAATGGAATAATATTTGGTTCACTGATCCATGAAAGCAAAATCATCAAAAGTCATTGGCTCAGAATACGTTGGCTCTTCTCTCTCTCTCTCTCTCTCTCTCTTGATTTAATACGTTGGCCAGTCTACCTCATCTCCAGTCATCTTATTCTTCATCTTCTTTTTTTATAATTCTTCAATATTCTCCCATAACAATAGAATCCATGTTCATTTTGCCTTCGTCATCTTCCTTATGTATCTTTCTCTCGCTTCCGCAACTTTCACTTTCGTTTTTTTTTCTGTTGTTATCTTCTCAATATCATGATGATGATCATTATTTGAAGTTGCTCTGTTTAACTAGCCTTCTTTCAGATAATCACTAATATCATCATGTTAACTCTCTTCCTTTCTGGTTTCTCATCTTCCTTATGTATTACAATAATACTCTTTTCATATATGTATTAGTATTCAATTAATCTCTATGAGGTTAAAAATATTCTTGACCACACCTTAAGTCTAAAAGATAGAAATATATGTAGAAGAAGATAACAACAGGAAAGAGAAAAAGGAAGATGATGAAGAATTGAAGAAGAAGAAGATGATGATAATAATAAGGAAAATGAAGAGAAGATGATCAAGTAAGAGAAGAAGTTAAGAAAATTCTTATTTCTCCAGAGTGAACTTTCATTCCTTTTTATATATATATAATATTATCTATTTAACTTTGATCTAGTTTATCTTCATCTTTCTCTACCTCAACCACCATGAACATATACACCTTTAGTTATTATTAATAGATTCTGATTTCATGTAGTTCACTTTAAATGAAGCCAATCATCTTGAAGATGATGATGGTTGAAAATAATTCCATGATACAGTTTAAGAAGAAGATGGACTTAATAATGATATAGTAATAATAACGATGATTAAGATGATTGGTGATTAATAAAGCAGAAGAAAAAGAAGAAGATAAATGATGATGAAAATATGATGAAATTATATTGAGCTACATGGAGAAAGATGTAAATAGAAAGTAAAAATAAGGATGATGGAGAAACCCTTGAGGGCAAATGTTTCCATTTATCAACTTATTGGGAATATTGGACAATACTCATGATCCATTTACCTGGTCTTCTTACCTGTGTAATGGTCAAGACGATTTATCATCATGAGAAAGATGAATTATGTCAATAACAATTATTTTGGACCTTTTGTCAAACCTGATGACCCTGATTGAATAAACATTTTCACAATTAACAAAGATAATCAATGGAAACATCATCAACAACCTTGAAGCCATTTTCAGTTAGTAAACAACATTTTCAATGTAACAATGATGTTGATGATGATGATGATGATGATCATAATGATGATAATTTTATATATTGTTACTATTTGTGATGGTTAAGTTGGGAGGAGGAGTGGAGGTAAAACCCAGGGAGGTGGAAAACTATAAAAATGTAGTTAACCTTAAACTATGGATCCAAAGTTGGATGATTATCTTCATGAAGATAAATAGGGATGATTTAAATCAATTGGAAACTGTTTGTTACCCTGTTTGACTTACTAATATTACACTTTGAACCGGTGGAAAAATTTGAACATTATTATTGATTGTGATTCAATGAGAGTACAATTTAACTGACAATTTAAATTCATCGCTGGAAACATAATCACAATCAGTATAAAAATAACAATAACAACAACATCAACAAAAACAATCAATTCTGTGATTTAAACACACAACCAATGATGATGAAGATGATGATGAGGATGAGGATGAGGATGAGGATAAAAAACTAAGAGACAATTTTACCAAACCAACATCAAGGATATAACAATAATAATAACACTGACAATTGTGATAATAATGATAACAATAACAATCATAATGATGATGATTATGATTCAATTGTTGAGGATTAAATTGCCACAGGGAATTGTTAATATAATTTATATTTTAATAACAACAGTAATCATGATGATGATTGTGTCTAAAACCAAGTAGACAAGATAATTGTGAAGGTAAAACAAA